CCCATAGATGCACATTTCTGCCCACATTAGGTCAACGAAAGACCTAAATGTGGTGCTGGACCTGTTTACCCTCTTTCAGACCAAGTGTAGGAGTGAGTTTCAGAGCTAAAAGCAAGCTCTGGACACCTGGGGGGAGAGAGAGAGAGAGAGAGAGAGAGAGAGAGAGAGAGAGAAAGAGAGAGAAAGAGAGATCTTCCTATTCTTATAAAGATACTAATCCCAAAATGAGGGCCCCTCCCTCATGACCTCATCTAAACCTAATTACTTCCCAACTGTCCCCACCTCCGTATATCATCACTTTGAGGGTTAGGACTTCGATGCATAAATTTTGAGGGACACATTCAGTCCGCAGCAAACTTTAATAAAGAAACAAAACTGGGGCCCCTTGGTGGCTCAGCCGGTTAAGCGTCCAACTCTTTATTTTGGCTTAGGTCGTGATCTCATGGTTGTGAGATGAGCCCTGAGTTGCGCTCCACACTGGTGGAGTCTGCTTGGGGTTGTCTCTCTCCCTCTCCCTCTGCCCCTCCCCCACTCACTTTCTCCCCCGACGCCCAACAAAGAAACCAAACTTTCTGTAATATTTCTACGAATGCCATTGGAGTAAATGACCTGAGGACTGCCAAAACCTAGGTGGTACCAGACTTAATTTCCATGAAAAGAAACTCATTGGAACTCATTGAAGACCCGACTTGAATATTTCATGGCACCTTGTGTATTTTTTCTAATGAGGCGCTATGATGATTTCTATATTGAAATTTTATGTTTGGTAAAATCCCACTTCATACTAGTAGGAATAATTTTGCCCTTAAAAAAACTCCTCTTATAAATAAACAAGATATTTCTCTAGATGTCACTCTGTTCCCATTTACAGCAAACATTTTTAAGTGTCTGTGCCTGCTGTCTTCTCAGTTTCTCTCCTCCAATTCCTTCAGGCTTTTGTCCCCTCCACTCCACTGAAACAGCTCTTATAAAGGTAACCAGTAATTTCCCTTTGCTAAATCCAATGATCGATTCTCAGCTTTCTTGACTTGTCAGCAGCACTTGAGACATTTGATTGTTCTCTGGTGTTTATGTTTTTTATTTATTTTTGACAGAGAGAGAGAGAGAGAGAGAGAGAGACAGAACACGAGTGGGGGAGGGGCAGAGAGAGAGGGAGACTGAATCTGAAGCAGGCTCCAGGCTCTGAGCTGTCAGCACAGAGCCCGATGCGGGGCTAGAACTCATGAACCACAGTATCATGACCTGAGCTGAAGTCTGACGCTTTACCGACAGAGCCACCCAGGGGCCCCTTCGTTCCCTGTTTCTGAAAACACTTTTTGCACTTGACCTCCAGTATCCACACACTCCCTCGGTTGTTCTCATCCCTGGGACCCCTCCTCAGCCTCCTTTGCTCAGCCTTCCTTATCTCCCTGACCTCCAACTGCCCCGAGGTTAGTACTTGGATCCATTGTCTTCTTTATCTACAATCCCTCCCTAACTGATTTTATTCTGACTCAGACTTCACCTACAGCAAAATGCTGGTGCCTCTCACTTTTCTATTTTTCTATTTCCAATCTGGACCTGTCCGCTGAAATCCAGGATTGTATGCTCAGCTGGCTCATTTGACATCTCAGCCAAAATTCAGACCTCAATTTTAATATGCCCAAAATGAAACTCCTGATCTGCGCCCCACATCTGATTCTCCTGCAGTCTCTATAAACAGCAATGTCATCTTTCTGGCCGGTCAAGATAGCAAAGCTTGGAATCACCCTTGACTCCTCTGCTCTCTCACATACCACATCTGACCCGTCAGAAAATTCTTTTGGCTCTTCCTTTGTATGTCCTGCACACAGCCGTGTTATCCCAGCTCCACTGCCGCCGCCTGGTCGTCTGCTGTGATCTCTCTCCTAGACGGCTGCAAAGCCTAACTGAGCTCCTGGCCAGCTCCTGGGCCCTCAGTGTCTCTTTATCTCACAGCAGCCAAAAATAACGTCCTTAAGATATGTCAGCTTACAGCATCCCCGTGTTTAAAGCCTTCTCATGCTTTTATATTGAGAGCTGGATGGGTGTACCCAGAGACAACGGACAGACCACGTATTAAAATACAACTCTGACCCACAGCCTACAGCAACTGGGAAGCCAAACCACAGCCTCTGTCCATAGCAGTCAGCCCCAGATGGTCAAAATTTGATCAATAACTGACAGCTTCCTTCATTTTGCCCTCATTTTCAACTTAAGACCGACCACAGAAACCGGATGTGCACCCCTAACTAGTCACATAGGATGCCCCGCTTCTAGTTGGCTCGCCCACAGCTTCCCTGTACCCACAGCCTCCAGCCAGGGCGCCCCTGCAGCCTTCCCTTGTTCCCGCTATACAGTTTTCTCACCCCTCGGCCTGCCTTTGAGTCTCTGCTAAAGACAAGTGATAGTGGCCGACTCCTTTGCTATGGTGCAGTGAATAAATGGCCCGTGCTTGTTTTCATCCCGTTGGTTGGTCTTTGATTATTTACACAATATTTTACTCCGAGTAAGACCCGACATCCTCCCAACGATCCTGAAGTGCCGAGTGGTCTTCCCGGCACCGACCCCGTCGCTGCTGCTGTGGTCCCATGTCCTGCCTTCTCTTTTTTACCCAACTTACTCAAACCACATTGGCCTCCTGGCCATTCCTCGTGCACACCTGGCACACCCAGGCCTGAAGCCCTTTTCACTTGTTCACTCCTTTGCCGAGAATTCTCTTCTCTAAACTATGTATGTAAGGCATCTCATTACCACCTTGAAGTCTCATCTCAAATGTGACTCTGTCACAGATACTTTCCCATATAACACAGGCCGACCATGGCACATTCCCCTGCCTTAGCCCCTGTCCCCTTCAGCACACTCTATTTTCCTCACATAACTCATTACCTCCTGGCATACTACATATTCTTGTATATTTGTTTATTTTCTTCCTCTTTCCCAACCCCAAATAAAATGAAAACTCCGTAAGATCAGGAATTTTGTCTCCTTCCGTATCCCCTCTGCCTAGTAGGAATGTCTGGCAAGTAAAAGTCACCCAACCAATGTTTGATAAAAGAATAATTAGTTATAAGACCTTATATCCACCCGTCATTTTTTTAGTGGTACCATTTTTTAAATTGGTGTATCAGTGAGAATCTCAGAGGAAATAAACCACATGCTCATTTTTTTTAATGTTTATTTTTGAGAAAGAGAGAGAGAGAGAGAAGGAGAGAGACAGAGTAAGTGGGGGAGGGGCAGAGAGAAAGAAGGAGACACAGAATCTGAAGCAGTCTCCAGGCTCTGAGCTGTCAGCACAGAGCCTGACGCGGGGCTTGAACTCACAGACCACAAGATCGTGACCTGAGCCGAAGTCAGATGCTCAACTGACTGAGCCACCCAGGCACCCCCACATACTCATTTTTTTTTTTATGTAATAGCTTAAATTAAATTAAGTAATTTTAAAAGAATGTAATAATATGACTATTTACAACATTGAGGTCAAAGATTAGGAAACCATCAGGCATGGTAAAGTGCCCCAAGGAATAAGAGTGGGCACCATTACCACCTCTAGGCCTGAGGGAAAGGGAAGAAGACGTTAGCTGAGCCCAGAGAGTGAGCTAGAGAGTTCAGCGGGCACCATGACCTTTACTTGGGGGAAGGGGTGCGGTCAGCCCTGAACCCTGAGGGAGCCAGGGGAATGAATGCCACAGACCCCATTCTGCTCTTGACCTCCAAGTCCTGCCTGTGCTTCCCTTTGGCTGACCCAACTGGAAGCCAGAGCACAAGGGAAACCTTTGATGTGGTTCATAGTAGTCAGCTCCTGGGGGACAGGGCAGGGTGGAGAGGACGGAACACGGACCTCGAGCGGCCTGTGTCTCCTGTTCCAGTGGTCTTTTATAATCATGAAAAGCAAAGTGGCGTACTGTTTTAAAAATAACCATGAAGCGTTTTTTTTTTATGTGTTTGTGAGACTTTCAGTGAAACAGACTCCCAGTCAAATACCAAAGTATCTATTAGGAGTTATCATGTCAAATTATTGAACTAAATGTCATCCTGAACTAAACATAGCTTCACATTGAACTGTATGTTCAACAATTTAATTATGTCATTCTGTTATTTAGTGTGCCTTTCAACTACCTTAAAAATGAATCATTTAGACTTATAAAAATATAACATTGTATACTCTGCATTGTTATTTGTCTAGGAAAGGAAGAAAACCACACGTATGGTCCTTATAGCTGATAAATAGACTTGAGATAAAAAGAGTACTAGAGTTGGGGGGCCTGAGTGGCTCAGTTGATTAAGCGTCCAACTTCCACTCAACTCATGATCCTGCAGCCCACGGGTTTGAGCCCAGCGTCGGGCTCTGTGCTGACAGCTCAAAGTCTGGAGCCTGCTTCAGATTCTTCGTTCTTTCTCTGCCCCTCCCCAGCTCATGGTCTGCCTCTGTCTCTGTCTCTCTCTCTCTCTCTCTCTCTCTCAAAAATAAACATTTTTTTAAAAACTTAAAAAAAAAAAAGGGACTAGAGTTAGACATTACAAGGTTTGAGTTTTAATTTTGACTTAGCCAGAAAGAGGCCTTTGCAAATAAGTTCAACGCTCTGGTTTCTTCATCTGTAAAGTACGAGGTAGGACAAGGTGACTTCCAAGGTCTCTTCTGCCTCTAAAATTTGTCTACACCATTGGAAGGTGTTGATCTGTCAAGTGAACAAAGCTGTATTTAAAGGAAGTATGTCAGCAGCATTTATTAATTGAGGAAAAAAGCAATTACCAGAGATTTTTATCTATGTATCTATTTTTGCAATGTTGAGTCTTATTTCGAGGCTAGGAATTCACTGGCCCAGAGCCTGCATGCTTTATACCTTCTTTTGCCCCCCTCTTCTCTTTCCTTCCCTTCACACGGTGGCATTCTCAAAGAATACGCAAGTGGAAAAGTTGACGATTAGAGCAATGTTAATTTGCACAGGATTGCTGAAGTTCAGATAAAAGTAATAGTGACTGTGATTGTGTGTTCTCTTTAGAGTCGACTGTATTTATTCCCCAGTCGGAATACTCCGTTGAAGAAGATGTGGGTGAGCTGTTCATTCCCATCCGAAGAAGTGGAGACGTGAGCCAGGAATTGATGGTGGTCTGTTATACGCAACAAGGTAGCTTGACTTGCCAATGAACTGAACTGTCCCTGCAAAGACATAGAAATAAGCCTCTTTGACATGTTGGAGCCAGAACATTATGCCTTGAGGGGTATGTTTTATTATTCCAGTTTTCATAAAGAAAAAAGCTGCACTTCCCCAGAAGTCTTCCTTCACTGTTACACTTCTGGGGACCTCTTCCAAGAGGGCCTGGAAGGACTGCTGTTACCTATCAAAATACATCTGATTCTTGTGGTTGCTTATCCCAACACTCAAAGCCATTTGGAATGTGAGAAATTGAAGTCCCCTTTCTCCACCCAAACCTGATCAAGTGGAAGAGGGTTATTTGAAAAAGAGAGAGACAGAGACAAAGAAATGCATACTCAAAAGAAAATCATTGTAAACTAGTTTGAAACTCATTTCAACCGAATTTCAAAATGTTTCTTTTGCTCATTAGTAAGCCTCCTCTGAAAGATGATTTTATGTAATACCAAATTAAAATTAATATATAATATTCATTAATATACTAAATACTAGTAACTAGAAAACAGGTAGATTTTCTAAAAATGTAAAAGAAAAGGTCAAAAGGTCATATGTGCAGTTGATATCTGAGCATTCGTGAAAATTCCCATTAATGTGTGTGTGTGTGTGTGTGTGTGTGTGTGTGTGTGTGTGTGTGTATGAATTGGAAGATAATAAAGAATAGTGGTCAGAAACACAGACTTCAGGGTCAGCCTTGGGCTCTGGGTCCCAGAGCAAGTGATTTAACCTCTGTAAATCCCAATAGCGTGGTTGAGAGGATTAATCAGGCAATGCATGTAAAGCACTTGGCACTTGGCCTGCACACAGTAAGCATTTGAATAGTAGAAGCTATTATTTTGTAATATCGTGTTGTTCTGAAAGACCAGTGGCAAGAAGTAGAGGAGAAAACACTGGAAATGTAATACTCTTTGTATGTTTGAGACCACTGTGAAGGTGACGCGTAATGCTAGAATACCATGTAGGTGCTATGGTAATTTCCAGGGAGGTTCACGTATACAAATTGACCGTGAAGATGTTGCATGTGAAAATAATCATTTCTGGAAACACGCTTGTGTAATATGTTCTACATAAACACCTTTTGGATTCTCTGTCCCCAGGTACGGCAGACGGAACTGTGCCGACGTCGGTGCTGTCCTACTCAGATTACATATCCAGACCCGAAGACCACACCAGCGTCATCCACTTTGACAGACATGAGCGTGAAAAAACGTGTCGCATCGTTGTTATTGACGACTCCCTGTATGAAGAGGAGGAAACATTCCATGTCCTTCTGAGCGTGCCCATGGGCGGGAGGATTGGATCAGAATACCCAAGGGCTCGGGTTACAATCGTCCCTGACAAAGATGATGGTAAGTGCTAATTTACAGGCGGAAGAACATCAGGCACAACCTTCTAGACAGAAAAGTAAGAGCGTGAGAGAATTATGCACGTTCGTATTATGCTTGGTTTCGTAGTGGGACTAAGTTTCAAAGTTGGCCGCATCAATCCATTTGGCTTTCTTGATTTAATGTTTTTAAAAGGCAAAAGTCACACCTATGTACGCTTTCTCCCTCTGTACAGTTTTCTTTTATAATGTTGCTTACTGTTAGGTGATGAAATTTTTCCAGTCTCATGAGGAAGAATGGAAGCCATAATCAATTTAATTTATTTCCTTTTTGTTTGTTTTGTCTTGCTTTTATTTATTTATTTTTTTAATGTTTATTTTTGAGAGACAGAGAGAGTGCAAGTGGGGAAAGGGGGCAGAGAGAGAAGGAGACACAGAATCTGAAGCAGGCTCCAGGCTGTGAGCTGTCAGCACAGAGCCCGACCCGGGGCTTGAATTCGTGAACCATGAGATCATGACCTGAGCTGAAGTCAAAGGCTTAACCGAGTGAGCCACCCAGGTGCCCCTGTTTTGTCTTGCTTTTAAAAGTTTATAGTTTGGGGGCGCCTGGGTGGTGCAGTCGGTTAAGCGTCCGACTTCAGCCAGGTCACGATCTCGCGGTCCGCGAGTTCGAGCCCCGCGTCGGGCTCTGGGCTGATGGCTCAGAGCCTGGAGCCTGTTTCCGATTCTGTGTCTCCCTCTCTCTCTGCCCCTCCCCCGTTCATGCTCTGTCTCTCTCTGTCCCAAAAATAAATAAACGTTGGAAAAATAAATAAATAAATAAATAAAATAAAAGTTTATAGTTTGCAGTATTAATCTCAGTATTTGAACTTGTTTAACAAAGAAACCCGTCAGACAAGGCTGTTAATAAACAAATAACTTGGGGCACATGGGTGGCTCAGTCAGATAAATGTTTGACTTCGGCTCAGGTCATGATCTCACAGCTTGTGGGTTCTAGCCCCACGCTGGGCTCTGTGCTGACAGCTGAGAGCCTGGAGCCTGCTTCGGATTCAGTGTCTCCGTCTCTCTCTCTGCCCCTCCCCTGCTCACACTCTGTCTGTCTCTCTCTCAAAAAATAAATAAACATTAAATAAATGAATAAAATAAAATAAATGAATAGCTAGAAAGATAATATATAGAAAATAAAATCCCACAGGTAGCTCCCTGCACCAAAAAGGGAGGGTGGGAGGTTATCTTAGAGGGAAACTCAATTATCATGAAATAATCCCGCTTTTGGAATAGAAAACGGAGAAGGTCTTATCATCCCAGCTCAAGAAATAGTTTGTGCCTTGAGAAAAGAGAACCAGGGGGACGATTGTGAGTAACCTCTTGAGGAACAGAGAGAGCAGCAAACCGAGAGGACCCCCACCCCCACCGCCACCCAGTACTTGGAATATTTTTCTCTCCCTCATAGTCGATTAAAGAGGAAGAAGCTGGGTGGATGAATCTTTTGGCTTGGAGAGGAGCTGGAAGAGAGTCAAAATGTTTTCATTCCGAATAACATGAAAACTCAGGAAAAAGATTATAACCTACCAGGGAGGGTCTTTGACAGTTAAGAGACAGTTAAGTTAAAAGGATAGTAACGTGGCTTGTGAGCTTATAGTCTGTGCCAAACACAGCCCTGGGTCCTCTGTACATCATCCTCCTGACAATCCCGTGAAGTAGATCATTTCTTTTTTTTTTAATGAAAACGTTTAAAACCACTAGTGACAAAAATTAGGAATGATTTTATCAAGAGGCATTTGAAGAAAGTGTTGATTCTGCTATCACTTAAATGATGTCCAGTTGCTTTAGCTTATTTGTCTATAAACTAATAAGCAATTCTATTCTGTATTTAAATAAAGTACAGAAATTTTCTTTTAAATGGTCTTAGAGAGGAAGCCAGGCAGCCAAAACAGAGTTACTAGTCCACACTAAACACCTATCTGCTATCTAGATATTTATCTATTTCTGTTAATGTAAGTAGAAAGATCGTGAGATTTAATTTAGAAATAGTAAATATAATTAACGATTACTTCAGCTCAGTTTGTTTTGTTGGCAAAAAATCTTTCCCATATGGATTTTTGTGGGATGTACATGGGGAAACAATAAAAGTACACAAAGAAACCATTATTTATTAAGCGCCAGGCATTTTCATAGGTACAGAGCTAAATCGTTTCAAGGGTGAAGGGTGATGTCATGATCCCTGTTTTACTATGGCAAGACTGAGTCTTAGAGAGGCCAACTGACTTAGGCTGACCTGAATTTACAAAGTTAGTACACTACAAAGTTACTATCGGGGCCCCAAATACATGACTTTTCTACCCTGTCACTGGTATCTAGGGGTGACGAGTTTGTGGAAACCGTTGGTATGATGTCTACTATTACATAATATTTGTAAAATACTTTATTATTTTACGAATGCTTCACTGAGCTTTCCATTCCCTGGTATAGGCAGCAGAAGTGGTATTCTGAGTGGGGTAACTAAAGCTCCAAGAGCTGTTTGCCCCAGAATAGGGCTGGGGGGTTTGGGGCCACAGGCTTTGATTTTAAGGCTTCAGAACGCCACGCAAGCATTGGACCAGCAGACTGTCAGGAATGCTATCAGGAACCATCTTCATTTCTTCATTCCCCCAACCCCTTTTATGTCTCCTTCTGTTTTCTCTCTTCTGTCTCTTCCCTTCTACCTCTAACACCACTACTCTAGTCCAGAGAGACCCTTTCCATCTCACATGTAGATAATCGTGAATTCACAGGTTTCACATCCTGGTATGTCTTCCCATGCAAACCCTTGTTCCCACTGCCACCAATTTAATCTTTCTTAAACTCGAGTCCATGCCTCCCCTCAACACAAAACGATTGACAGCAAAATGTTACCACCATCAGGAGGATGGGAACATTCCCCTTTGCTCACCCAAGAGCCAATAATGCACAAGAGGGAAAAAAATAAAGCATTGCTTCAACTGTGCTGGTGGTATAACAGTGGAGAAACCTCTAAAGACTGAAGTTATTTCTAAATTAAAAGCAAGATTTATAAATGTTATTCAACAAATATTGCAGTTATTTTCTTAAAAATATAACGGTCTGTCTGGTCAGGATAAGGAAGGGAAAAAAAAGAAAGGAAAAGGAAAGAAAAGAAAGGAGAAGAGGGGCACCTGGGTGACACAGTCAGTTGATCTTGCGACTTCAGCTCAGGTCATGATCTCACAGTTTGTGAGTTCGAGCCCCACACTGGCCCTGCGCTGACAGCTCAGAGCCTGGAGCCTGCTTTGGATTCTGTGTCTCCCTCTCTCTGCCTCTCCCCAACTCATGCTCTCGCTCTCTCTGTCTCTCAAAAATAAATAAATGTTAAAAATAAGTAAATAGAAAGAAAGAAAGAAAGAAAGAAAGAAAGAAAGAAAGAAAGAAAGAGAGAGAAAGAAAGAAAAAGGGAAGGAAGGAAGGAAGGAAGGAAGGAAGGAAGGACAGTGAGGTAGACACAGAGAGAGCGGGTCTCAAGAGAACAAAGTCAGACTGAGAAGGAAGAATAGGACAGTCCAGGAAATTAGCGGAAGAAATGAAAGAACTTCATATCTAAGGAGGAAAGGAAAGGACAATCCAGATGAAAAAAGACTAGAGACAAGTCTCCAGAATAAACCACTTCTGCACATCCTGTACCCATTTGGGTGGTGAGTCTCTCCCTCCACAGTTCTTCAAAATGCCATTAGCAAAATGAACGCTGCTTACAGCTCTTCAACCGCTTTCTTTTTAAGTCTTCAGAAGCTCAGCTCTGAGACTACTATGACCTATCAGAAGGAATTATTCCCTGGACCACATAGCACGCACAGCAGATGGCACAAACTCTTCCTGAGGCTTAATCTCCACCCTGACGTGGAAGTTGTGGGGATCGAGCTTGTATTCAGTGCAATAAGAAACCGTTTGAGGATGGCTTCCACGCTTCACTTATCCACTGCTGCCTCCCCACAAAGTTCTTTTGGGTGAAGTGTTTCAGAGACCATCCCACTGGCTAAGTGATCATTTATAGTACTCGTTCAGTGAGATTTTCTGATGTGTGTAAAATCAGTGCTGATTACTACATCAGATATCGACCCTTGGCGAGATTAACAATATCGACCTACAGTGCTTAGGACCTGCACTCGGACCTCAACCTTTCCTTCTCATTGACTCATCACAATTTGTTTCCTCCTTAACTATTAGCAGCACCGTTTTCTTTCTTTCTCCGTTTCTTCCTGTGCTAGGTAGGACTTTTACTATAATGTTGCATAGAAGCAGTGGAATAGGCATCCATGGGGATATCTTTTTGTTGTTTTCTGACATTCTGGGTCTTTTTTCTGACTTGAAAGGAAGTATTTAGAATGTCCCACCATTTGGAATCATGTAGGCTATAGGATTCTAGTAACATTTCGTTGGGTTAAGAAAACCCCCAATCTGACAAAAGCTTTTAGCAGAAGTAAGTCAAATCTTATCCCATCAAATTTTCTGCATCTATTGAAATTATCATGTAGTCTTTTTTTTCCCTTCAGCCTATTCACACTATGACTTGCACTTTTAGATGCACTAGCCTTAAGCCACATGTACATGCTTGAATAAACTTCCTCTTTCATGACCTATTTTTTATAAACTGCTAGGTTAAATTTGAGAATATTTTATTTAGTACTTTTGCACCTATGTTTATGAATGAGATTTAAGTTTGTTGATTCGTCTGGCTTTAGATTGGAAAGGAGTCAAGTGAGAGAATCAAGTGCCTCACTTTCTACATGTGAATTTTCTGGTTCGAACCTGTCTCGTTTGTTACACTGACTATTCCTCCATTCCTCACGTTGGCCACCATCCGGAAAACTGCACATGCGTGAAGAATAAATGCAAAAGTACAAAAGACACACACAACAGAAAACACCCTGTTTGTTTCATCTGGCTAATTCCTATCCTTACAATTTGCTTGACTTTCAAAGCCAGAAAGTATCTTCCAGTAAGAGACTTAGTGTCTTTCAGCCAAGTTGTATCTCC